TGTTGCATACTCTTTCGCCGGTCTGGAAAATGTGTTTAATTAGCTCTCATTCAAGCAACAATGCAGATTTCCCAGTGGGAGTGAAACTATTCTACTCTGCCATTAAAAAATATGGGTGTTTTCAGCAATAAACGAATAACCCTGGAATGCACACAACATACTGAATTTCGGAATAAATCGTGCATTACTTACAGCAGCAGAATACCACAGAAATATCAGACGAAACATGAAAACACTATATATTGTATTTCAGCCTGAACCCTCTCTATTGCAATTCAAGGAATTAACCCCATATGTGCATCCATTTCCCACCTTGGTATCACCCACCCCTGAAAACAAACTCTTAATACCACGCTGAAGCGTTTGGTAACAAGATGTCAAATAATCAATATAAGCACTCTGTATGCTTTACATGCATTCCAATCACTATAACTATTTGAGTTGATGTGCATACAAAGCAGAGCTTGCAACATGATAGTTATTTCTCGAGGGCGTTTTTTACTTTACAGTAGTCACACAATGAATATAATAAGGCAGTTCATATTTGTCTCAGTAAATCATTAATTTTTGACAGACACCTATACAAAGTACTTGGGCAAAAATCCAGCTAAGATTTTCTATTATCTCGCATATTTTACGAATCTATTCACATCTAAATGCAGCACTTTTTTTTTTGAGATGAGACATATTTTTTTTATACTAAAATATCTGAAGTACTTCAAATAAAGCTGGAAATTACGTCCCGTAAAATAATTAAACAAATTAGCCACCAATGTTTTTTTTAAAATATTTACATCAATCAAGGACATTCGGTAGACTGGTTTCCAGCTGCTGTTTCAACCCCCAAACTTGTTTGTATTGCTAGATGATGAGCTCTCTGCAACATCAACTTTAAAAATCTGACACTGGAAGATGTGTTGCTATAGCAACAAACTTGTATCCCGGAAAGCTGGACATGCTATTTAAATTTTGACTGCTTTTGTCGAAGGTGACAATGCAATACACTGCATATGTATATTATCCTACATAACCTACATTTGTATCTATTATAAGCATCTTTGACCAGTCAATTTGCTATAATCGTAAGCAGCTAAATAAGGCTTATGTTTATGCTGTATAAATACACTGGGATATAAATAAAATAATATACTGAACAAATATTTTTAACTGGAATTAATTTTCTCTGAATTTTGCGGTGTTTTGTATGAAATTTATTTTCACTTTCACAGTTGAATGAAAAATATAGGAAAAAAAGGTTTATTCACCGGATAATATTTTCATTGAATCATTCCTCCAGTGAAAATAGCAAAAATAAATAACAAATACAAGTATTTTACAGTATTTATGCAACAAATGCATAGTTTCAGTATGTTAATCTGAGGAGGTGTTTGCCATGCAATAAATGCTATGATTAGACAGATAAACATGTAAATTAACAATTAAATAATATAAAAATGCTAAAATAACAATAAAAATATTACATAATGATGTAATGAAGTTTGAAAATGCTAAAAAAATAAAATAAATAACACTAATCTATAATAATAAAGATTATGTAAACATGATAAAATAATGAAATAATTTCAAAATGCTAACAAAATGATAACGATATAAAACAATAAAAATGCTAATATAATTGCGATTTGACTTAAACGAAATGAAAACAATATAATAAAACAGTGCTATAACATAGTTATGAAATAATATGAAAAAATAAATTAAGAACAATTATTTAAAACAGGCTTTGTGTAATCTAGAGCTTAATTTAAAATGACATGTTTTGTTTTGATACAGGAAATTATTGCCCTGATATGAGTATGCACTTCACATAATGTTAGAATAACGGGCAATACAAGGTACATTGTGGATATGATAAAAGCATTTAATGACCCATCAAGGAATACTTATTGTTGCACATCATTTTGTTTTTCAGTGTCAACGCAGTGATAATCTGCACACCGACTTGGACACATGAATCGTTAGTCAGAGCCGCCTTGAAAGCAGGTTGGTAAACTTTTTTTTTTTCTATTCATGCTTCTTGTGATATATTCCATATAAGGTATTTGAACATTATTGTCCAGTAAATTGTATTTCTTTTCATGTTCTGTAAGGCTGTGGCACCATATTTCAGGATTGCCTCATCCCTAATAAATGGATATACCATAAAAGTAACAAACTAGAATTGGGAAGGTTATCAAAAACAGATACTAACTTAAGCATTACATAATGCATTGACCTCCAATACAGGGAATGTAGTGGCATGGGATGAAAAATATCTGTGTTTATGCAAAATATGATCATGTTTAGATTATGTTAATACTAAATCATCCAGTGTTTATTTTTTCTTTGTCTAGGTAAACATGTGTTGTGCGAGAAACCAATCAGTCCATCCATAGATAGCATTAAAAGTCTGTTTGCCGAGGCCAGGTCTCACGATAGAGTTTTGTTTTGTGCATTTAACAGGTATCGTACAAATGAATTGGACGTGCAGAACCAAGACTTTTGCTAATACACCTTTTTCTCTAGCGATGGAGAGCTACTGGGACAGAAAAGTATTTACTGGGTCAATATTTTTTTGATCTGTAGTTCGTCTACAATGAAAAATGATGTTCGCTATAATTTAAGTGATGTACGACTACATAACCAATCACATCTGTCATTTTGAAATGCATCTATGTCGTTTTGACGACACAGGAGCGTCACTTCGCTAGAGGACGTGAAAGGTGTATTAACTGCCTGGATCTCTATTTTAGCAGTTTTTTGACACAGATAAGATGCACTGAAGATGCCCGAATGTTGTCCCGAATACACTTTTTATTTATAGCGTGCTCGCCAAATATGCAAATGATATGTATAAAATGTCATTTTAATGAAATATTTTTGACTCCATGAGTGAAACTAGCATACAATGGAAGTCTTGGCAGTTAAATGTCATGCTTATTAAGGTTGTATGTTAAAATTTATGTAGTTTTATAACATACCAGTATATTATTCAGATATGCAAATGAAATATGCAAATGAGCTATTAAAATAACAGTACCCTTCTCCATTCACAGGGGAGGTGAATGTTAATGTCGCGTACTTGAACTTAATCTTTTACATACTGTGTTTAGGTGTTATGCTATATATATATACGTATATATATATATATATATTAGATATGATTGGTCAATCAAGTAAAAATATTATCTTCCTTAATATTCCCAGGAGATTTGATCCAGGAGTAAGTTCCTTGAAATCAAGGATCAGAAATGGAGAGATTGGACAAATACAACATGTTAAGACAATAAGTCGTGACTTTCCACCTCCATCTTTGTCATACTTGAAAACATCAGGTAATTACCTCACATCTACCTTTATTAGCTCCACTGTCGACATGGTCGAACGGAGCTTATCTTATGAGTGATTGTCCATCGTCATCCGTGTCAACTTTTTACTTTTTCGACTTCTTCTTGAAAACCGATTGTTATTGCTTTGATACTTGGTGTATAGGTATCCTGGGCAGACTTCTCTCAGATTTGTTCATTTCCTTATATCTTCAATTCTCTAATTTTGATGAATTTTTTTGTCTTTTTTGGTGAAAAGTGATATTTTCGACTTCTTTTTGAAAACCACAAGTCTGATTGCTTTGATACTATACATATACGTACCTCAGGTAAACCTCTCTCAGATTTGT